TTTCTATTGCCGATGTAAGGAATTAAAATCTTAAAATGGAGGGGAGCAGATGGGGACAGACTTGACTTCCTTCTGCTTGTTGAGCGTGTCCGTGTTTTCTTGAGCTCCAGGGAAGAATATCAAAAGAGACTGTACCACCCTAGGAGGCTGCAAGGAGGTAAATCAGGGTGGAAGAGGGCAAGGAGTCCTGCTCTGTCCTTAGTGATGCTCAGGAGTAGGGCCCATTTTGCACGCTGATGCAAATACCGACTGCAACTTGTATGTATAACTAATGTGGTATCTCCTGTCTTCATGGTATGGCTGTGAAAAGGTTAAGTGGACTTTGCCACCATGGTAAGCAAATAATAATGCAGCTCCTGCAAGCCATGGTATGTAGTTGGAGGGAGTATTCCCCAGCTGGGATGGGTTGAATCTTATAAGCATAGGGTGGATGGCTGCAAGTTGGCAGTGGTGCTGCAGGGGGGGCTTGGACATAGGCAAGAGGTGTTAAAGGTCTGAGGAAGGAGGTGGCAAATATAGCTGTGATCTGTCTTTGCCCTGTTTCAACCCTGACAGCTGCCTGGGGATTGTGTCAGCCCCCTACAACAAGGTGGAGCAGCTTGAACAATCCCATCTTGTTCTTTGCCTTCACAGTTGTCCTCTTTCATGAAGAAGCACTTCTCAGACCTGTACAAAGAGGCTGTCCCCAGTATTAGGTTTTGCCCTGCTGATTCAGTCTTTTGAAAATGTTTAATTTCCCTGCTTTGCACTAGGATATTTGATAGCAATGATGTATTTTTAAAAACTTTCAGAGGTTCTCTCTTGTTTAGGAGTTATCTACATCTTCCACTCTAACCTAAACCTACCTCCTTCAGTACCTTCTTGGTGTACTGCAAATCAATTTTTTTATTTTTTGGTATCCAGCAAAACTCTAACTGAGTAAGCTTAAAGAAAAAAAAAAAAAAAAAAGCTGTTCCTAAATAGGGGTACCACAATGAGACTATATTTGTACTGAGGATTGCTTGGACCTGCCGTGTTAACTGCCTTGAACTTGACTGTCATTCTAATCAGGATGAAGCCAGAAATGGCTATCTGATGATAGTGTCTGGCCATTCTCCTTGAAATGATCATTTGCTAAAGCCCCACTACGAAGTTACAGGAAAGGGAATATTGAGAGACTGCCTAAGAGGATTTATATACCTTCCTGAGCCTATTCTTTTTGCGCTTTTCTTTCAAAGCCACAGCATTTGTGTCTTTTTACCCCCCAAGTGCAAATGACTATTTCTTTCTCTTTAACATATGCGTCAGCACAGCTTCAGCATTTAGAGGCCAGTTCTGTATCTGCTGAACCTACTGATTTCAAGGAGTGTAGAAAGGAGCCCTTCATACCCTGCTTTGCCTTCCTCTCTGCTCTGAACTTAACTCTTTAAACACAGTGCTCAGACTTCAGTGAGCTGAGTTATCCAGGCAGTATTTGCTCAAGGCACTTACCTCACCATCAAGAGACACCTCTCAGTCTCGGAATTTTTATGCCTCCAGCACTTCATTTGAAGCAAGGAAGTGCTGTTATCTCTGTATTACAGAGGGATAGCCCACGTTCAGAGAGAGTAAATGACTCGCCAAGGTTCCTCATGTGGTCAGTGACTGGGAAGAGTGGAGCATCTGGTATCCCACTGCAAATGCACCAGTCCCTGTATGCTGCTCCACTCTGTGCCCTGGGCCTGTGGGAATAAATACCATGCAGGTGAGTACTTTTTTTAGGTTAAAGTGAGCTGTTGTTTCAAGTGATACAAGGAACACATCTTCCAACGTACCCTTGTGAAGTACCATCATTCCAGCATATTGAATAATTTGGATAATTTGCATCGAATGCTAGTATTGAGGAAAGAAAGTTAATCTGTTGTCATTGAGGATATTATGGTATTACACACATGATGAGGAAAAAAAGACTGCTGGTAAGTAATGAAGCCACCTGGTAGGAAACATATGAAACAGAATATTCATTTCTTTTTGATGGGAATAACAGACGACAAACGTGAAGCTTTCTTCAGATTGTTTGTTTATAGAAAATTCGTATCCACTGAGACTGTATGTTAAATTCGCTCTCTGATGTTAGCGTTTGCAGGATGCATGTGGCCACTAGAGTATGTTCTTATGATCTTACCATTTATTTACCTTGATACAAAACTCCAATTACTGTCAGAGATGCTTCTTGTTAAATATGGTAAGTTCTCTAGCTTCTAAGAGAGTGAAGATGTATTCTTTACTCTGGGGCCACACTGAGCAGGATGCTGAGGAATGAAAATACTGGGGACTTTGGTGCAAATTAATTAAATATCTAAAGATAACAAAGTAATGAAAACAGTTTGTAGAAGTTTGGGCTTTAGAGACAGATGAAATTTGGAAGAGAAAATAGTACAGTTCAGTGTTTGTCTTTGTTTAGGAAGCTTTTCCAAAGCTCTGGCTTTTCTTTTACATAGCTGTAAAGTCTAGCGCTTCCAGAAGCTAAGGCCTATCACTTTTATTAGCATTAATTCTTGGTAATTTAACAGTTGCTCAGGTTTTGGTGCAAAAGTCATTTAAGTCCAGTTTTGGGGTGGGCTTAGACATTTCTCATCATTGACCAAGTATCAGCCACTAAATCACATCCCACAATGACATTTGAGTTGTAAACCTTGCTGGCAAGCCAGAATGCCTTTCTTCAAATCCTGACCGCTCAGTAAAGGCAAATTATTTCTGTGTGAGGACCCAGTATTTTGGAGCATGTTCTATGCTTAAGAGACTTCATAATGTTGTGATGTCTGGACAAACTCATTCTGTTGGCACGAGAGTAGTGGCTGAAAATGAGCAACTTGTAATTAAATGTTGAGAGGAGCAGGAGGTGGGGACATACAAATATCTACATAATTTTTTTTTGGTCTGACAAAGAGGTGGTTCTGAGCATCCCAAATTCCAAACTCTGTAGTAAGCAGGGAAAAGATGCTTAGATTGGAAGGAAGATGGAATAAAGGGAGATAAAACGTTACCAGAAGTATTTCATATAAGTCTCTTTTGATCACTTCTTCTTTGTGAGCTATCTAATTTTTCAAACAAAAGAAGTGAGTTAGATATTCTGTGTTGCATCTTAAGAGGTCTCTGGTATTATGTAGGCAATTGTTAATTTAAATTGTTAAGAAGGGGGCTGCTAGGAACTGGTAAAAGAGAAAGCAGTTACACTGAAAGAGATTCTACCATGCTGAAAGCAAGTTACTATAGAAAAGCGTCATGAATGAGCTTTGGCTCTGGATTTGTTTTAAGATTTTTCTTTAATGATGCAGGCATGAAAATTGGAACATGCTGTTATTGATGGGGAAAAGTGAGATGCGTTGGCAATCCAGAGAAGGCCTTAAATCTCCCATGGGGAAATTAAGATAACCATGAGAAATAAAGTGAAAGATAAAGAATTAAATGTACTAGTGAAAAATGTGAAGTTACACTCATAAATATCCTATTTCCACTGTAAACTCATAATTTAGAAGTTAGATAAGTAGGAGGGAGGCTGGAATGCAGTATTTGCTATGGGATGATTGAGAAATGTGAAGTATCTCTGTAAATGGTGTTCTCAGATGTGAAAGGAGATCTTCCCTCTTTAGATTACCCCACGTGCTAATTCTAGCTAACTGTACTCAAGAAGATGAATTTGGAGAAGGGTTCCTAAGATACTCAGAGTTTATCTCCTGTGGGAGTATAGTTTATTTAGCCTAGTGCAAGCCAGGCTGAAAGGGAATCAAATTCTTCTAAAATTGTGAGTAAAAGGTAGGAAAATGCTATGTTTGAGGTGAGAGCTGGAGAAACCAAAACCAACCAAACAAAAACCAAAACAAAACACCATGAAACAAACCTGGAAGAACTTCAAAATATGGAATTAAAAGCCCAAAGGAAGGTGAACAGATATGTAACACATTTAATCTGGGAACTGGAAGGTGGTTACTAGTCATGAAAAAGGTTAGTCCCTGAAACGGCTCTAATAAGAACAGGATGTGCTTTCTGGGCCCTATGCCTGCTTCAAGTCCTCCAATACCATCTGTAAGGATGAAATTCCCATGTCCATGTAGCACAGTCTTTGAAAATAGTGTAGTGCTTTTATCTTTTTTAGCTGAAAAGCTAACAAATAACTAACTCTGACTTCATCTAGTTATTGCAGGTGTCTTGAATCCTACCTCTGGAATGATGGCATCAAAATGATGACTTTTATGGTGATGAGTGCTCTAGTCTTTTTGTGGATACAGGCTAAAGTTTATGGTCCTGTGGCTAGGGCAGCTGTTGTTATTACCACCACCAGTGGTTTTGAGCTGCAATTTTACTGTAGAATTGTAAAAAGGTTTTGAGACAGTGCTTTTCATGAGACAAAAACAAAAACCACTCCTGAGCTGTTGTAAGGGGCAATTTTGTTCATCTTCCCAACACTGTTCCTGTTTCTCTCTCTCTTTTTTTTGTTTTGTTTTGTCTCATCTCATCTTGCTCAGCATCTTTCTTAAACAGCTGGGGGAGTTTGTGTGACAACTGGGACTCTAGCAACGCGCCATTGCACATCCTCTTTATACCAGAGGCAATTGACTCTGTTTCCAGCTTTTTGCCTTGCCTGGGAAAGATCAGTACCTGGATGAAGGCCAGTTGGCTGTAACTGAACCCCTTCCACAAGAGATAAAAATGCCCGGGAATTTGTCTGTCCACAGAGCAAAAAAGCAAGATTTGCTGGCTTTCCCACAATCAGCCAAACTGCCATTAGTGGGTGGATAGAGAGAAACTCTTAGGCTTAGCGCAAGAGTGATAGTTTCTTGGATACTCTGGTGATAAACACAGCATTGATACCCACAGCTGGAGTTTTTATAAAGCACGTCATTCTGGCCTCTACCTATCCAGGCACTGGTAGAAGCTGCATAGGTTTCAGGGAAAACAGAGGTTGAGTAATTTCTGAGTTACTTTGAAAAAAAAAAACCAGCTCAGGTTGAAAGAACAACTGAGCTTTTTATCAAAAACCAACCAAACAAAACCCCCCGAAACACCTTTTACATTTAGATATTCACAGAGCAGGAATAGCTTTGCTGTCTAGGGTGAATAAAACATTTCTGTAAGGCAACAGGTAAGAAAAAGGCCAAAGTGCTTCTAATAATAATTAAAGCAGTTGCTAAGCTTTGCTGATTTATTTTGTTAACCTGAGTTGTATTTGTGCATTTGTTTTATTTATTGCAGAATATTGTAATAACAATATCAAAAGAATTTACAGTGGGGTATGCTATTTTACTTTCATAAAAAAAAGAAAAAAGTTACAGCAGATGCTTTGAATTTACTGCAGATGGTGGCAAATATTTGCCATACTATAAGGTTACAATACTGGAGTGTCATGACTTATTTGGTAAATCAGTGCATGATTCAGGTGGTAATATCTATTAGCTGTGGCTGGCAAAGCTCTAGTGAAAATAACAACCCAAATACTCAGCCAGTCCTTGCAACAAATGATTTTTTTTTTTTCTTTGGGAGAAAGAAGTTTATTAACTCTCTCATGTTCCCCTTCCCAGCTTGATTGTGAGAACTACTTTAGCCTCCGCTTTCCCAGAAGCAATGCTCAGCAGGAGCACTGCAGTACCCTCACAGGGATCCCTCACCAAAGAGGTGTGAGGTATGTGCCATTTAACAAGCACCTTGCTGAATCAAGTGCTGCCTTCTGCAGCTCACTTGGCTGCCTGCATGAGTTTGTCCTGTGCAAGAGTCCTTGTGAGGCTGGTCAATGAGAGATCTTTCTTCTCTGGAGTTCAGCTGAACTGAGCTTTCTTCCTGAACAGTAAAATGAGGAAGAGGACGCAGAATCCTGTACCTGAGAGCTATGAATAAATGAATTTGAGATAGAGGGGCAGGGAAGCGGCTTCCTGCCCTGGGACTGAATACATTATTGTTACATGTGAGACTTGTCAACAAAAGTCTCAGCAGGAACTGCATTTTGGTTGCCAGGCCCCTGAGTACCCTTAATGGCCTTAATCAGCCGTAGCTGAGGCCTTCCACCCCACACCCCTTGGCCAGGTGGATCATTTAAGCTCAGTGCTGGGGACACAATCCTCGTATGAGAGTTGCTCAGCTGCAGTCATGCCCATTTCAGGCTGTGGATGCTATTAATACTGACCCACGGACTGATTTCCTGGCTTGGACTTGAGCCTGTCCTGTCACCATGGACCTCCCTAGTGATCCCTGGGCTGTGTCTGACCTGATTGCCCTGGTTTCATCGTGGCTCTGACTTGTGCTTCCTGCCTTACCACCATGAGGTGAGCTCTTGGATGACTCTGGCTGTTATGCTGGGACTGCCCTGCTCATCTTGCTCAGGTATGGTGGGGCTGGACCTTTACTAGTGAGGTCCTTGCTATTGTGGGCACTGGATCCACCTGAGATTATGGCTCCCTGTCCCTCAGGGAGAAGCAGAATTGTGTGGTACTCTGTTGGCCTAAGTAGTCCTACTCGTTAAAAATATGTTGTGTAATTGAGCCCTTCCACGTCTGTGGATTGAATCCCTTTTGTGGAAGAGAAGAGTGTGCAGGGTTGCGAGGAGCTGAAGGGCAGAGAGGCGGGATGCCTGTGGGCAGTTGTATTTCTTCACTTGCACGTGCAGGATCACAGACTTGCTTCCTCACTGCCCGCTTGCACAGGTTGGGCTGCCATTTTGCAAAGTCTGTGAGCAAGTGGAAATGGGGGTGATGGTGGAAGTTCTGGTCTTTTTGGAGATGAGGCCTGGCCTGCTGCAGATGTTGTAGTGACCTGGGATGTGCTCCCCAGAGCTCTGTCTCTGGCAGATTACAGCTCCTTCCTTCCCTGCCCTTCAGTAGAGATATTGGGAAAGAAGTATCATTCAGCTCTGACTCTGTCACCCCTGGACCAAAGTCTGTAAAATAGGCAAACACAAATGGGATCCGTGTGTATTTTCCTCCCTCTCTCTTTTTTTTTTTTTTCTTTTTTCCTTTCCCTCCCAAGAAATGTGGGAGAAAGCCAAATGTGAATAAAGTTGCCTTTATTCCCTGTTATCAGCGGTGCTGTTGCACCTGGTGTTGAGCTTAACGTATGAAAGGACACTGCCACGTCCCGTCTGAAAGGACGTGAGGCCTTGCTCATGAGGTAATCCTGGGCTGATTGGGAGCAGGAAGCACGGGCCCGTCGTGAGATATCCAGCTCCCTGTGCAGGCTCAAGACGTTTAAGCAACTCAGATAAAGCACGAAAACGTTTAGCTACTTCATCCTAACTAACAGGGACATAAATCTCTTGGGGGCACAAGAGGCATGAAGGTCATCAGGCTTGTCCCCTGAAAGGCGTGATGGTTTCCCCAGGTGGGAGGTGCGTCCATAAAGCCTGACCAACGTACTTGTGTGTTGTGAAGTTTGATGTTCTAACTTGAAAAATCACAAAATGTTTTCAGTCAGAGACTGGAATAGGGTTGATCTCTTCTACCAGTGAGGTCTACTGTGTGATACCCGGTGATTTTTGGTGTGCTGGAAGGCATGATAGAAAACTGAGGGAGTAAAAGGGGACTAGAATAAGTCTGGGATAAGATCAGAGAATATGCTCCCTCTTTAACTGCATAATTTGAGATATTGGAGCGCTCGTAGCCATTTACTGAGCTCATTTTGAGGGTAAGGGAATGTGCAAAAGTTAATCTAGTTCCAGAAAAAGTAATCTTGTTATGAGTTAATGCTAGCAATTTGTAGGTTAGTGGATATCCATGAGGAATTGCCTGGTGTTTATGCTATCGAATACATATCTACATTATGAGAGGAGTGGGATTTTTTGATTCACTCCTCTTGCATGTTTTTTAACAGAACAATTGCTGTTAAAAATGTATACTTTAGAGAGGTTTAATTATGTTAATTATCACATATTTTGTTAATAACATTTTCTTTTGAAGATGCCCATTAGAGGTTTTAAAGTGTTAATTTACTAGAAAATCAAATGGGAATGTTGTTTGAAATTTCCTTCTAAATTAACTTTACTTACTTTTATGTCCTAATTAAATGGGGATAATAGTATTGGTGGAAATATTACAGAACTGAAATTAGTGCTTAGATACTTTACTTAATACCAAGACTTTAATCTTAATGTAATGTATCTTTTGTTCTAATCAACATATAGCCTTTGCATTTAACTTACTGATGTGTTTTGATCAAAACATTTAAATAGGAACATTGATGCAAGCTATCTTCATGAGATAGCCCTCTGATATTTTGAGTTCCTTCCGGGTAATAGCTTTTTTTTTTTTTCCTTCTTCTCCTTATAGCATCTGTGAATACTACGGGAAAAAGTGTCGAGGGTTTTTTGGCATTTGAACATTAGCTCATCATAAATTAGGTAATACTTAGCGATTCCACTTAAAACAAACTTCATAGTGTTTGCAAATTGGCTTGGGATGGGCAACTCCCTTCAAGTTTGACTTCTGTAACTCTTGGTACTGTCAGGACCACGTAATTTGCCTACTGCCTAAGATGTTTACGTTGCTGTGCAGATGCATTGTGTTGATGGAGCTATTTCTTTGCAGAAAAAGGAAGATATCTCTGTCACCTTTCTGTATTAATAAAAATGCACTAACAGTAGTAGATGTACTGGAAAAATAAGTCAAAAACTTAATGCAGGAACAAAACTGCTTAGCAATTGGTGGTGTGAGCATCAGACTTTGGTGAAAGCAGTGATCAGCTGAATGAAGTGGGACTTTCTGCCCCTGATGTGGTGGAGCCAGGCTTTCTCTTCATGTCTCAACACCTTGACCAGGGACTTGACTGTTGTTGTTTTTCTCACCACACGGTTCATTGCCAAGTGGAGATTCTCTGGATCATACGGGGATGCTCAGAGGTGCGGAATGCCCAGCACTTGATGGGCTTCCTTTCAGTTCACGCGTCCCTTAGTGTTGACTGGTGACAGCATCTGCTCATTGACTTCTACCTGCATGCTTCCTTATGGGAGGAAAGAGTCATTCTGCAACGCTTGGTCTTTGTGTAACTTACTCCTGTTAAAGTCAGCACCTGACACCCTGCAATGGCAAAAACAAAGTGATGAAATAGGGAAAGTTGTGTACTGGCAGTTGGGCTTTGGACTTGCTCGGCTGTGTTGCACTACGTCTTGTCTGTCACGGGCTGAAGGAGACCCAAGCAGAGCAATGTGATGGGCTGGTGACCAAAGGGGGGCTCTTGTCATAAAAGCAGTGCAAGCTATGTAAACCAAATATCCAATTTGCTCAGAAGGGGTAATTTAAGTTACTTTTAAATAGTTAGCTTTTATGGTCAATTGGGTACTGCCACATTACTAGTAATAAGCCATAAATCTATTTGGTATAATATGAGATCATTTTTAAGACTCTCATAGACTAAATTTTCAGGTAAAGAGGAGAAATTGAAATTTATAATCCATGCCATTTTTTGTGTAATTGTTATTAATAAATTAGCAAGAAAGAGGCAGCAGATGGAATGAATTGTTGTAGTTCATTAATTTGATGATGGCTTTCTTTGCATGAGCCAATTACGTCTGTCATTGTATCTCTAAGCTGCAGGAGAGCCCAAAGAAAAGGGTGCACAGACAGGGACAAATCATCTTGGGGATTTCCTGCTTTCTAAGGTGGCTAGAGAAAATGCACTCATGGTTTTCACTAATAGTTTTGGCAAAGGTATCACTGAAGCTTGTTGCCAATGCAGTTCATGTAGCTCCAAAAACCGGGGTGAAGGGATGATAGTCTCATTCAGTATGCACAGAACTGTGATCTATCTGAAATAATTACCAGCTCTTGATGATAATTTCCAAGTTTGACCTTGGTGTGCTTTCAGGAATGCTTTTCTGAGGGCATCATTCTGCAAGTTGCAAAAAATAAAAAAAAATGCCTGTGTGGTGAAGGACAATAGGAAAGAAAATTATTCTTCTGGGGCCTGTGGCTCAGGAAAGCTCCCTTTATATATGGCCTTGTGAATTCTTTAATTAGAAGACACTCCACCATCTCATGAGCCCCTCTGTGGTAACGTGCTGATAGTTTTGTGTGGAATATGGGTTGATTTGCTCTACCTTCAGCCCTTGTATTCTCAACGTGGAGATGGTGGTTGTTTTTCTGTCACATGCATGCTTCACGTAATGACTGTAGTTTATTACCCAGTAGGTCACATCCTGTATATTTTAAGAACAAACACCTCCGAGATTGTGACTTGGTGGAAGGAGGTGACGTGTCATTGCTGTTGTTTTCACTACAGCCTTGTGAAAAAACTAATTACCTTTTCATCTTGGTAAATTCAGAGGTCAGTTTACTACTACTATATCACAACATGACAGGGAACATGGGTAATTAGGTAGGCTGTGTAACCTGGATATTCCATGGATCTCATTACATCTTATTTAGAAAGGCTATAATTTGATTGGTGGAAAATTAAGGCATCTCCTCATGGGTCATTTTATCTTTCTGCAATAATAATTCTTGGCTTGATTAAAAATTGATCCAGTGTCTTAAAGTGAATTTATTATTGCTGCAATCTATCACCCACAGACAGATAATCTGGTTCCCATCTTTATCTGATTTGAAAAATCTGTCACTTATTATGTGTTGTTTTTTTCCCAATCATTTAAATTGATGGTTTGCTGAGGCAAGGCGTGCTACCATAGGCTTCTTGGAGAAAGCATGGCCGAGATGTTAAGCCGGTACTTTTTACTGCAAGGAATCCGATACTATGTCAAGTATCGATTGGAACTGTGTTGTGGCATCATTTTCTCCGGGAAAAAAAATCAAGCAGAAATTTTGGATGCAGAGCAATAAGGATAGACAAGTCATATCGTTGGAGAAAATGGTCCATGCGTGCTTAGTGTCTGAATGAATTCCAGCCTTGTGCGGTGTAGCTTCTGCTGAGCACAGCTCCTAAATTGCTCGGGTTGTGCACAGGGACACCCCAGCCCCCTGGCTTTAGAGGACTGAAACCACCTTAGCCATGGAGCTCTGTGCCAGAAAAGGGAAGCATGGGGTCAAGGAAGCCAAAAGATACAAGAGTTGGATGGATAAAAAGAATCACAGTCTGGGGAAATACTTTCTAGTGTTTGACTGAGCTTTGGTGGATCTTCTTGAGGGTTTAGTTTTCATTTAATGGAGTTTAAAATTTTGATTGGGGATGCAAAATAATTTTAGAAGTTTTTTTTAAAAATAATAAAAACTTGCAGTGAACATTAAGGATTTTAAAGATGAGCATGTGCCAAGTTCTTTTATAGCAGTTCTTATAAATTAGATGCAGCTAGCAGAAGAGCACCATGTTTACGGTGTGAGCA